TGGGTGGCTGGGTGAGTGAGTGAGTGAGTGAGTGAGTGAGTGAGTGAGCGAGCAAGTGAGTGGGTGAGTGAGTGGCTGGGTGAGTGAGTGGCTGGGTGAGTGAGTTTGATCACATCTTATGAATGTATATTCTGGATTGTGTTATACTATACAGTGGTGTCGGGGGGGGAAGGTATTTTTCACTCAAATGTTCAATAAACAGGGGAATTCTCTATATATATTTCACATATTTCTCAAAATGCTGAGTGGACATGGGTAGCCCAGTGGGCCAAGTTCCCCAACTCTCAACAAAAGGTGGCTGTAGACTCTTTGGGCTTTCCTAGCGCAACACAAATTGACTATCAGTGATGTTAGTGAAATATTCCCCTAACAGTATAAAGCTGTACATTGCTGATTCAGTGAGTGAGTGAATTGGATCACAGGCAGGGGACACCAGACATAGGCTTCACACATTGTACCCATGTGGGGAATCGAACCTGGATCTTCAGCCTCATGAGCGAACGCCTTAATCACAAGGCTACCCAACCGTCCCCATTGCTGATACAAATCACTGGCATACTGCATATCATACTATGACTGTAGTTCTCTTTATAACAGTATGTCTCTGTGAAGTCTCCAATCACTCAAAATTCATTCAATGACCAAAAAAAAAGTAAATATGACAACCAATTTGCTGTGTAGGCACAAAATAAAAATTTGCTCAAATAATTCTTTGATAATAAAAATATCTAAACACAAAGTCATCATAAAAACTATATTTGTACAACGTAGCAACTAAATAACACCTGATAAATAACATTAAAACCAATAAACACCACCATCAATTCATCAAACTCATCAAAATCTACATAAACAAAAAATAATTTCATAAACAAAACCCCACATTAGTGTCAACACCGCTAAAAGTCGAGATATTCACCCTACCTGTGTATTTCCTATGGGAATCTACGATGGTGACACCAAAACTGTCATCACAGAGCCCACTGACATCAGCGTTGCCTTGAAATTCAACCTATTGTATACGGTTGTATTGTATATCAGTCCCTGACCATTTAACACCAGACCTGATGAAGTGTGACTTGAGAGAAGCAGGTTTTAGTCATTACTTCCAGACAACCCTCCTCCATGTCAATGGCTTGTCGCAGGACTCACATCGCCGTGCCATGTACGTGCAACTACAATTCAATCGCCTTGTACACTCCGATGCCAGCCCATTGATTTGCACTGAGATGTCCGTGGCCAGCTGCCTTAGACGGAATACCTTGACACTGGGTAATGTGGAACTGTCACAGTGGTATGATGGGTTGAGATGGGGAGGAGGGGCGAGATGGGGGAGGATAGGGCGAGATGGGGGAGGATGGGGCGAGATGGGGAGGATGGGGGAGCATGGGGAGGATGGGGGAGCATGGGGAGGAGGGGGCGAGATGGGGAGGATGGGGCAAGATGGGGAGGATGGGGCGAGATGGGGAGGATGGGGCGAGATGGGGGAGGATAGGGTGAGATGGGAGGATGGGGCGAGATGGGGGAGGATAGGGCGAGATGGGGAGGATGGGGCGAGATGGGGGAGGATAGGGCGAGATGGGGAGAATGGGGCAAGATGGGAGAGGATGGGGGATGTGGTGAGATTGGGTGAGATGGGAAGGAGGGGGGGAGATGGGGGAAGATGGGGAGGATGGGGGGATGGGGCGAGATGGGGGAGGATGGGGCAAGATGGGGATCAGATGGGATGGAGAGGGGCGAGATGGGAGAGGATTGGGCGATATGGGGAGGATGGGGCGATATGGGAGAGGATTGGGCGATATGGGAGAGGATTGGGCGATATGGGGAGGATGGGGCGATATGGGGGAGGATTGGGCGAGATGGGGAGGATGAATGTTGCACATGAGACTTAAGGGCTAATTACAGATGTGACCAGCTGTTCAAAATTGGGAATAAGAAAGCTTTTCAGTGCTGACTTAAATGATTTTCTGTGGTGGATAGTTTTTTAGGTTATAAAAAGACAATTTAAAGAAAAATGGAATTCAAAGATACCTGCTGGAAAACTATGTGAGATAACAACCATTCTTTGAATGATACAAATCTATGGCAAAAGTTTGAACTGCACAATAACAATACTACATATGTCAGATAAAACTTCTACATCTTCATTGAATCCTTTGATCATCAAATCAGGAAGAGATTTTACAATAAGGACAACACAAAAAACAAAAGTAATCTATCCACGAAATAATTGTTTTGCAAAAGTTTGTATTTCACAAGACAAGATCTTAGTTGCTTTTTCTTTTCAAGAAAACAAATTACGATGAAGAAAAATTAAAGTTTAGGATACAGAAAAAACAACAAATCAACACAGAATTAAATATTTAACTATTTAAACTAAATATGCAATATCAAATTCAATATTAATCAAATACAGCCCAACCTACCCTCAAAAGATCCACAGTGACACATCAAATATTCGCAGATTAACCGAACCATCCGTCAACGTAAGACAAAATCAAGCGCCTTTACCATTTATACAATATCTGTATAATTTTATTGAAAATCAAAAATGATGTTGCCATGGAAACAGTTTCTACATGGATAACTGATTGCAACAAAGTAATCAAGACAATGCCCATGGCCCCGCCTGTCAAGTGTCCACCTTGGTTGTAGTGACGCAATGCCAGGGGCAGTGTCTGTGGCCGATGTCAGCAGCCCACGTGTGTGTGTGTGTGTGTGCAGCACTGCAGTGGACTGGCCGGCCACAAGAATCAATACTGACTGCTGGCTTTTTGAAATTGACGCGTCCATACCAGATGGAATAATCTTAAACTGTGTTTGTATTTGATGTTAACAAAGAAATATTTACTTGAAGGTGGAGAACTCTGGAGACTCCCTTGCTTACTGTGTTTGACTAGTGAGTGAGTGAGTGAGTGAGTGAGTGAGTGAGTGAGTGAGTGAGTGAGTGAGTGAGTGAGTGAGTGAGTGAGTGAGTGAGTTGGGTTTAACGCCGCTTTTAACAGTATTCCAGTTATATCAAGGCGTGTCAGCTTAATGTGGGAGGAAAGCCCGAAGTGATGCAGGTGTCAGACATTTAGCACTTCGGTGAAACCGACGAGCAAGGGTACGGTGCTGACAAACCTAGAAACATAATTGGGGCGAACCGGGATTCGAACCCACAATCATAGGTTTCTGGCGTGCCCAAGGGATGCAACTCTGCACAGCGAATCGCAGTGCCTTAGAAGAATGGGCCCCCCTTGCCCCCTGACTAACTTTCAACTGTGGGCCAAAACAAAGTGAACTAGTCAATGTGGTTCATTGTTTGAGAAGTTCATTGCAAGTGTATTTGGTCTGTTGAGGCCATTTGTATATTAGTGACAGCCAGTTGAATGTGATAGGGGTCCAAATGGACACAGAAATGGAAAAGAATGAGTACCGAGCAGTCATCAAGTTTTTTACTTTTAGAGAAAAGTACTCCCCAAGAAATTCATGACCACATGTCACAAGTTCATAGGGATGAGTGCCATAGCTATTTCACTGTTAAACGCTGGGCAGCTATGTTTAAGGCTGGGAGAACAAGCCTTGATGATGACCCTTGGTCTGGATGTCCCTCTACTTCCATTCATTCAAATAGAAAGAAAAACTTATGCTGTCAGATAGACGTTTTACCATTGCTGACCTTGAGGAAGACACAGGTCTTAACCATGGATCCATTGAAACTATTATTCATGAACATTTACAGATGAATAAGGATATATTCTTCTTGGGTGCTAAGATTTCTAAATTCTGATCTTACGGTAAAAACAACTGACAGTGCCAGAGAAAATTTAGAGCTAATTGAGGAGGATTTCGTCAAATTCAAAAAGGGTTTGACCATGTAACCAAACACCAAGCAGACAATATCTCTCACACGGCTCCCAGCAGAAGCTCCTGGGCTGTCAGTGATGTCAACTCTATAACTCAACTCTGTCTTCACTCACGGTTGCACTGGATGCAGAACATTAAATCCTGCATGCATACACATTGAGAGTGAGTGAGTGAGTGAGTGAGTGAGTGAGTGAGTGAGTGAGTGAGTGAGTGAGTGAGTGAGTGAGTGAGTGAGTGAGTGAGTGAGTGAGTGAGTGAGTGAGTGAGTGAGTGAGTGAGTGAGTGAGTGAGTGAGTTGGATTTAACGCCACTTTTAATAGTTTTCCAGTTACATCACGGCGTTTCAGCTTAATGTGGGAGGAAAGCCCGAAGTGATGCAGGTCTCAGATGTTTACCACTTCGGTGAAACCCACGAGCACGGGTATGGTGCTGACTACACATTGAGAAGGGATGCAAAAAGTATAGGTGCTTAAATCATAATACACTACATATAATTGTAGACAGCAAGAAGAGGCCTTCCTATTTTGGTAAGAAATGCACTCAAAGTGGCAGATTTTCTTCAATTAAATTAAATCCCCATCAATAATAGTCTCAATTTTCAGAACATGAGCTATGAGGTGACATCTGTATAACTTTGGAAGTCAAGTGAAGCAAAGACCCCAAAGAGTGAGACTGACTGATCCCGATAAACATCCCTAACAAGTACCATAGTTTCTTGAGTATAATTTTTCCCGATCCTTTAAAGTTATATCATTGGGTAAGTTTTAACCGAAGTAGATTCCAAGAAAACATGTGTACAGCTGTTTCCGGCTTAGTTTACAAGAAAATACACAAGGTTATCTTAATCCCTGGACGTAAAACAATGCCTAGCTGAACAAAAAATCTGATTTAAACGGTAGAACAATATGTCTGGTGATTTTGTATCTCAAATTTCAAATTTGTACTGATCAAGTTTCTTATCCCCCGATTGTTCACCGGAGCTCACTGTAGGGGTGCAGTGTCATTTTTTTCTGCGCATAATATTCAAATTATTTTTTTTCAAAATACTGTATCTGCTAGATGGGGGTGCGTATTATACTTGGGTGTGCATTATACTCAAGAAAATATGGTACTACAGTTTCCAAAATGTCACGAAAAGATGGGGTGTTTACCTTGATGGCCTCTCTCTGGGTGAGTGTTGACTTCTGCTGGTCCGGCAGCTTGTCGTGTGATGCCAGGACAACCTCCGCTTTACCAAGCCAGTCCTTGACCTTGAGGATCTGCGTCTGGAAGTCGATGAACTGACCATCCAGCTTGCTGCTCTCCTCCTGGGGTGGGAAGAGAGGAATGATGGCTTTAGTGAGGTGAGGTAAAATGGGGTTTAATGTCGCGTCAAAGATTATTGCACTTATATAGCGACGGGCATGTACGTGTGTGTGTGTTTGTGTGGCTGCTTGTACTAGTCCGGACTGATGCCGATTTATAGTGCTAGCTCACTGAGATACCATGCCGCAGTTTAACATGAATACCCCACTCAGACACAGTATACTGACTCCGAGCCGACCAGTCCTTGTATTAGCCCCTTAATTCAGAGCGCCAGACAGGGTAACAACAAGTACCATCTTTTAACGTCTTTTGGTGTGAGGCGATCGGGGATCGAAACCCCCGACCTTCCGCTCTCCGGGCGGACGCTCTACCCCTAGACCACGGAGGCGGTCCGATGGCTTTAGTGAGTTGGGTTTGAATAGAATATCAGTCATATTATGGCATGGCATGTTCATGTGGGAGGAAGCACACAATAATGTGGTTTGTGGATGTTTACCACACTGGTGGAACTCACAACCATGGGTATGGTGGCGACAAACCAAGGATCAAGCCCACAATCAGTGGCTCCTTGCACTTCTAAGGGAAGCAACTCTGTACAGTGAACACTGGAACAGTGCTCAGTAAACTAAATGACTCATCAGAATACCATCCGAACCACATCCGTCATAAACGATATATGATGAAGAGATGAGAATGTAACAATGTGAGAAACATAATTGAATAATACCACATTGGATGATATCCCTTCTTCAAGAGTAGATTTAGATTTAGGGCTAGGACGGGTAACTCGGGTACTCGGGTCGGGTGGGTACTGCGCAGGACCCGGGACTACCCAGACCCGTGGTTAGTCACGTGATATATTGTTTCATGACAAAAAAATCACTATATTTAATATAGTGGTTACACGACAATTTTAAGTCTCTAATGTTCGCATTTCTTCAAGACTATGAACACGTTCCTTCTGACTTATATATGTTTGAACAAAGCTAAAACTTCAGTCAACTTCAGTGACCACATCGCTTTAAATGTGTATCTAAATACATATTGCCAGGGCTACTGTCAAACTTTTCCCAATCAGACATTTTGTACCTATTTCTTGACACCAACAGCGGGTACCCGGGTAGGGTTGGGTAATAGGGGTGTGGGTACCTGGGTAGTAAATTTGGACTCGTCTCAGCCCTAGATTTGACAAATGTGTTTTGTGAGTCATTCCCTTCAATGCTGGAAAATTGCCCCTCAACAAGACAAGGCTTCCACATAATTAATAATGTATCTTACTGCTACATTATTACAGTGATCTTTAAGTGTATAAATCCATATTGTTACGAGTCAAATACACTGTGACAATCAACTCACTTGCATCTTCTGTTTCCGTGTTGACAACCTGGCGGACAGCTCCTCTACCGACAGCTCCATCTTAGACACAGTCTCGGCTGCCTCGATTACCTCCCCTTCTTCAGCCAGGTCCTGGAGCTGGAGAATGAGTTCCCTGATAGAGGGCACCAGCGCCTGTCTCTTGGACAGGTCGTCTTCAGCCAGCTGGGGATTGGTGAAGATAACATACTGTTTACACAAGCACGGGTAGATATCATTACACTGCAATCTTACACAGCAGTAGTCATTGAGTCTTGACCAGACAAACCAGTGTTGAAGAACAGTCTAACAGTCTACACAGACAAGAGTGAATGCAGATATTTTTTTGCTATGGGGGTCCAAATTAAAAGTATGATACGTATCCTCTTGTTATGGGTTTTCAAACCCTAAGAAGTATTTCTGATTATTCGACTTCTGAATACACTAAAATGAATTTTACCTTGGAGAAAATTTATTTTTGTTCACACATGGTCAAATGACGTCTTATTAATTTCAGTGATAAAGCCGCGCGGAGCGAGACGATTTGATCAGGGGCCATCTTGTTACCGTCACATGATCTCGACTCACCCTGACATGGTTGACCTCCTCTTCCAAATTATAGACGGTTGTGTTTAACTCCCTTCGGTCAAGGTCATGATTTGTCGTTGACACAAACTCACTAACTGCACTCATTTCTTTACGTAGCTTCTTTGACACTTTCAGAGCTTTTTCGAGATTGGTCTTTCCCAGTGTGACCTAACATGGGCATAACATAATCGTGGGTCATTAAAAAGTAATATAATGCTAATATTGTATTGATGGATGAAATTTTCTTAAAAGTTAAAAATACAAATTATTCTTATTCATGAAAGCTTTTAAACAGGAACTAGTATGTATCGAATTATTTATTATAAATTACTTAATTTATTATTAAGTATGAATATTAATGAATATTTACAAGGACTGATAAAAGTTATAGGAACTGAGATATTCAAAGATTAATAGTAGAGAATTATGTTTTAATGTTTAAAAAACCATGTATCCTTATTAGAAACATTGAAAAAATCCCCAAAGCAGGACATAAAATCTTATGTTTTGAAAGCATGCAAGTAGAATAAAAAGACGAAACTGGCTCAACACATAGGATGAAATAAGCAAGCACAGAGTTACAAAAACAATCATTACCTTGTTTAAAAACATAATGTAACATCAAATGTTATTCTCCATGCCTGTGTCAGTGTTGATTGTTTGTTCAGTGACTAATTACAATTATGACTAGACAGCAAACATACAGCTCGAATCAAAACAAATCTACTTAGAAAGTCATGCTGTGAGGTGACAGGAAAAAGGTTATAATAAAAAATAAACCACAACTGTCATACAATATAACATTTGAAATAAAATATCCTGTCAAAATATCGAAATATGTCATATGACATTTCAAGTTCAATATATACTACTCAAAAGAAGTTCAGGAACACCTGTTTCTTTCATATTACGAAAGATAATCTGTCATGGCAGAATATGACAGAACTGGGTGTTCTTTGCCATGACAGACTAAAGTAAAATGAAAGAATCAGGCATTCCTTAACTTCTTTTGGGTAGTATATAAATCCAGAATTTAAAAAAACGACAGTTCAGAATCCAAGCACAACAGTCTGATTTTATGTGAAAAGAGTCCTACATAAAAACAAGGTCATGGTCTTGTCAAATTATTGATGAAACTAAAAACACCAACTTTATTTAGTGGGGTGTGGAGGGTGGGGTGTGAATCTTTACAAGCCAATTTATTTTCTCAATTAACATATATACCGTATATGATGTAATAAGCGCCCACGGCAATATTTGCTGATATATTGGCTAGTGAACAATCCCCATTAGCACCCCTTCCGATTGATCAATATACACACGACTTATTTATTCATGTATAATACGCACTCATGTGTTATATGTTTCTTAACTATGTGCAATTAAATTCTGGAAAAATATATCTGTCATATATAAACATTTCAAGCTGTCAGCATAAACCATGAAATGTACGGTCTTTCAACTCTTGTTGTTGTTTTCTTCAAAATAATATTCTAATAATAGCCCCCTATTTCTAATTTTGAGAGTGCCCTGGGCACTTATTATGTCAAATACGGCATTTCCTTTTTGGAGAAGTGTGGATTGAAAGGCTGGCCAGGGCCACCATAATCTTGATTTTAAGGGATTGAAGTTTAACATTTCGGAAAAGCTGCTTCCAACTGGCATTAATTACAATCATGACCGAAGATTGGATCATCCAAGTGATCGAAAATAATCGGTTTGCATCATTTTTCTGTTTTTCAAGGTTTAGGTTCAGTAAAACTAAATCACAACTTTTACAATTTTGCACAGATACCTCCTTCAGCACCTTATTTCTAAAAAATGACAATGGTCTCGCTCTATCTCACTGTTTCACTGGGGCGGTTGGGTAGCCCAGTGGTTAAAGCGTTCGCTCGTCACGCCAAAGACCCAGGTTCGATTCCCGACATGGGTACAATGTGTGAAGCCCATTTCTGGTGTCCCCCGCCGTGATATTGCTGGAATATTGCTAAAAGCGGCGTAAAACCATACTCACTCACTATTTTACTTCAGACATTTTGACAAGATCCTTCACCTTACTTTACGGATCAGTCTCATGAAGGTTGGAGCTGGAATATTTTTTAGATTATCTTACATTTGTAACGGCGAAAATGACAAGTGTTATCGACATGCAGTTGTTAGTGCATGTTAATGTCAGTCAATAAAGTATCAAGGCCGATGTGGTTAGTAGTCTTGAGTAGCCTGGCTTACTGCCTGTATATAGGTATATCAGCATTAACACTATTTAATATTCAATTAAACATAAGTAACCATGGCGACCCGAACCTCTGTAATGAAATATTTGTCAGTCATGTCACCAATAATATCTCATGATGCATATCAGAGAAGCTGTTTAATACACGTAAAAATATAGTCTGTATTTGGTGTTCAGTATTAGATATCTGTCAGTGTCTTGTGCAATGTAAATCACTTGGTTATCTCACACAAATGGCATTTTGAAAACATTTCATGCAATGAAATCACACAAAAATGACAAAGTTAAGGTAAATAAAAACTGAACTGAAAATAGCCTAATGATTAATGAACTCATTCTTTTCACAACAGAGCACGGAAAGTCAGTTTGGACAGAAGAATGATTTAAATTTGAAATAATGAGCAAACAGTACCAGTATCAGAACCAACAAATTGATCTTCGAGTACAATTTTTTAAACTTTTTCTTACAAAAATCAATGTACATATTTCATAAAACAGACCCCCCAAAAATCACCAAATGAGTGTATATTTCTTCAAAGTAAAACAACAAATCTTGAAATTAAGTTTTCAATTAACTCAAATTCCCTTTAATAAAAATTCCAATTTGAAGTAATTTTGAAGGCATCATTCTTCTGATCTCCTTTGGCCACTGTATGCAGGAGTAACTGGACGCCTACGCTACCATCCTGCCAGAGACAGGGGGAAAGCTAGAGGAAAGCCAGGCTACAGCAAGTTGCTGCTGCTGCTGCTGCAGGTGTTATGTGACTGAGCTAGTACCTGTGCCCCCAGGTCATTATATTGTTGTTTAATGGCATCCAGCTGCTTATTGAGCTTGTCGGGGAAGTCTACCTGTTTCTTCTCCACCACATGCCGACCTGCCTTGATCACATACTCCACCTCAGGCTTTAGCTCACTCATTGTCTTGTAAAATTTCTGGAAATGAATCGGTGTGAAACATTATATTTCTCATTTGGCCTGTTTCACCAGATAAGTCCACCATCTCTACCCATCACATCTCTCCACCCATCGGTCTCTCCCTCCATCCATCAATCTCTCCATCCATCAATCTCTACCCATCAATCTCTCCACCCACCCGTCTCTCCATGCATCCATCAGTCTCTGCATCGATCTCTCCATCCATCCACCCATCCATCAATCTCTCCACCCGTCAATCACTCAATGCATCCATCAATCTCTCCATCCATCTCTCCCTCCATCCGTCCGTCTCTCCATCCATCAATCTCTCAACACGTCCGTCACTCCACCCGTCCCTCTCTCCATCCATCCATCAATCTATCCATCTCTCCCTCCACCCATCAGTCTCTCCACCCATTCACTTCTCCCTCCATCCATCTCTATTGATTATCTCTCATCCCTACACCTCTCAATCCATCAATCTCTCCACCTATCAATCTCTCAATCCATCTCTCCCTCCATCCATCAATCTCTCCATCCATCCCTCAATCTTTCCACCCATCCACCTCTCCCTCTATCCATCTCTATTATCTCTCTCATCCATCTTTCTCTCATCCATCTTTCCCTCAACCTCTCAATCCATCAATCTTTCCACCTGTCAATCTCTCAATCCATTCATCCATCAATCTCTCCATCCATCAGTCTCTCCACCCATCTCTCCATGCACCCATCTCACCATGCAGGTGTCATGCCTGGACTGCAGCATCTCGATGTCCTCCCCCGGGACTTCCAGGAGGTGAGCTCTGTCCTGGATGTTGTCCAACTCTCTCTTCACGTGACTCAGCTTCGGCTCAAAGTCTGCCGGGCGCTGGAACTTGCGGAACTTCACCATCACCTCAGCAAAGTGTTTCTGTGAGGAACAAATAACGTAAATAAATAAACAAATAAAGTAAATCTGACTTTGAGTAGCTGTGTAAATCTGACTTTGAGTAGCTGTGTAAATATGACTTTGAGCAGCTGTGTAAATCTGACTTCCAGTAGCTATGTAAATCTGACTTTCAGTAGCTATGTAAAATCTGACTTTCAGTAGCTATGTAAAATCTGACTTTCAGTAGCTATGTCAAATCTGAATTTAAGTAGCTATGTCCAATCTGGATTTCAGTAGCTATGTCCAATCTGGATTTCAGTAGCTATGTCCAATCTGACCTTGAGAAGCTGTGTCTGCTGCTCCAGCCTGGCACTGGCCTCCATCTTGCCCTGCTGGCGGTACTCTAGGACATGCTTCTCCAGCTCACGCAGGAGATCCTCCTGCTGCTGAAACTCCTCCTTCAGAGACTGTTGGAATAGAAACATATTACAGCATTATATATGTGTAACAGCGCTCCAGATACGCAAAAGTACTTTTGGGTCGTTTGGTTACAACTACACATGAAAAAATGAACAAACCCAATAATACAACAACACTGTGAGTAATTACTCTATGTAGTGTTTCCACTTGCATACTTCCGGTTTTTTAAAGATCTTTATGTCCTGCATCTCATGTATTGTAACATACATATGTATCTCAGTCTTGAGCTTATGCAACATGTAATACATTAAAGCAGTTCACAAACAAATGCAGATTAGAAGTCATCTGAACAAATTTTGTAGCAGGAACATTTTTAAAAATGGTCTCATTGTTGGCTTAAATTCCCTAAATTATGTTGATTACCCATAGAAAGCTATAAAAACTCAATGTGAATGATAACTTGGAATTAAATAATCAACAGCTGAACCAATCATCTGGAGCCCTGAATAAGGACCTGGGCCCTCTTCTTCTTAGTATTCTTAGCACTAAGATGATCGTAACTCCCATACTTCAACATAGGCTTACGATATTCGTATCACTAAAATGCTTTGAGGAATGGGACCCTGCTCTGTTGTGTACCAACTGAACCATGACCTCATCTGTATCAATTGACCTCATCTGAATACACTGACCTCATGTTCCTGAGGAACGTCTCCAGCCACCATGTCGGCATCCAGGCGAGACTGCAGATACTGGGTGATGTCTGACATCCATTGTGACATTTCCAGCATTTGACGCTCGATATTCTGTGCCTGGTGGATTGACCGCTCTAGACGGTTCACCTTTTCTTTGGCCTGTGTACAGAGATATTAGCTCAAGATCCATACAACTCAATCATAAATTTGCCTATAAATTTTTTACATATATCATCCCACTACATGTTCACCATAAGTTGTTTAGTTCAGCCCCAGGAACCAACCGTAACCATCAACAGAATCAAAGACTCGATTCCATGAAAATGACAAAATGGGATCATCAGAAAGCACCAACAGCAACAGTTCCAGAAATGAAATGATTACGGGCAGCATGTGACACCTGTGATCCGCTCACCTCTGCTTCCAGGGAGTCGTACTTCCTGTTGTACTCATCCAGCTCCTTCTTGACAATGTCCACCATGATGGAGTTGGTGATCAACTCTCCCGCCAACTCGTTCACCCGCTTCCTGTTACTGTCGTTGTGTTCCCGGAGCAGATTCTCCACATCCTGCAATACAATATCAGAGTCACACTTGTACACACTCTCACTCACCTTCACAAAAAAATTTTTTTACCAATACAATTGCAGGTCTGGCATCTTGTCTTTCTTGTTACCATCTGCGACTGAGTAAAAGTTAGTCTCTGTTACGACTTTCTCAATTTAGGTGACATAATGAACTTGAACATTTTCTCACAATAATTGGAGACAGTATTTCCCCTCCCCTTCAGAACAAAGCTAAAATGCATTGTACACCCAGGAAATATGTCTATTAAACAAAGGCTGTTTGGAAATTCTTTTTCAAAATGACTCACATCTAGTTCTTCTGAAATCTCTTCAGCATCTGAACTGGTTGCTGATGTTCGACGGACTTTCCTTTCAAGGTTCTGCAGAAACCGCCTCTCCAAATCCAGTAGGTCTGAAACAGTAAGGCCATTATTCAATGTAAGCCAAACAGTCATGGTAGTTCAGCCCTGAGTATGCTAAATGGAAGCCCTTTGAGAATAAAGGTCAATATATGCCCTTGAAACTCATGACCTTCACATGCTTGCAAATAATGGTCACAACTTGATCTGCAGTGCAGGGTAGACCATTGGGCAGGTGCCCCCATTCGTGGTGGGTACATCCAATAACTTCTTGCTCTGACTTTATCTCAACATTTCTGGGTTAAAAATTAATTTTTATTTCACTAATCCACAAAAATGATCTGCAAAGAAAGACCTACAAAGAAATATCACAAGTATTTCCACCATTTTACAAGTCTTGAACAAGTGGAACGTTAATTTCAAACCCGACATTTACCTTTTAACTCCTTCCACTCAGCATCAGAGCTGTCGTACAGAGAATAGTATCTGTCCACCCTCTGGAACACGTCTGTCCACAACGCATTCATCTTCATCAATGACCGCGCCAGCTCCTGCAGCGTGCCGGACGGAGCTTTGTTCAACATCTGGTTAGCTTCTTCGTTAAGTGCATCTACATCAGATTCTCTCCCACTCACTTCTTTCTTCAAGCTCTGGAAGGTAGTGTTTTAACAATCTCAACTGGTTCCATGTTCATTAAACTAAAAAATACACAGACACTGCACATGACTCTCGTCATCTTTCACAGTGAGGTGAGGTGAAATGGGGTTTAACGTCGCGTCCAAGATTATAGCACTTATATAGCGACGTGCATGTACGTGTGTGTGTTTGTGTGGCTGCTTGTGCTAGTCCGGACTGATTCTGATTTATAGTGCTAGCTCACTGAGATACCATGCCCCAGTTTAACATGAATACCCCACTCAGACACAGTATACTGACTCCTAGCCGACCAGTCCTTGTTTTAGCCCCTTAATGCCGAGCGCAAGACAGGGTAACAACAAGTACCATCTTTTAACGTCTTTTGGTATAACGCTGTCGGGGATCGAACCCCAGACCTTCCGCTCTCCGGGCGGATGCTCTACCACTAGACCACGGAGGCGGTCTCCTTTCGAAATGAAATTTCTTATATAATTAGCATTCTCTACTTTCAAAATATGAGTATTGTTTTACCAAAATATGAGCAAGTGAGTATTGTTTCACAATATTTTGGGCATCATTTCAACTATTTCAATGTTGAGAACCATTTGGCATGTCAAGCAAACCCTAAACCTGGGCCACCCTTCGCGAATTAGAATGAAACATTTCCTTAGCAAGAAATATGGTGCAACAAAAAACATATGTAGAAGACAGAAATTCAACAAACCTTGAATTTTTTGTTCTTTACAAGCAGATCATTTGCATTCTCCACGGAGTAATCCTTATTGGCCAGGTCGACCTTGAGTGGCTCCAGCCACTTGGTGATGTTCTCGATCTTGTCGTACACACACTGACTGTCACACAGAAGTTTCTTCAGGCGCTCGTTTTGTTCCTCGGCCATTTGAACCACCCGGTCCCACTTACTGTTCAGACTCACTACCTCATTGCCGAGACTCTCCTGGAACGTGTCATCACCCTCCGTGGACAGGGACTTGCTCAAGTTGCTGATGTTGATGACGTTCTGCCGCAAGGTCTTAATGTCCTCCAGGACTCCCTGAAAACAAGTTCACAAATTTCAAACTTTGTCCGATGTTTAACTCATCCGTCATCATATTTCTTTGGTCCAACTTTTAATTTTAGGTATTTGTGTAAATGACATGTCGCTATTTCAGTCCATGGTTGCACGGGGTGATGGTATGGAACAGAGGATGGTATGGTACAGAGGATGGTATGGTACAGATGGTATGGTACATAGGATGGTATGGTACAGATGGTATGGAACAGAGTGAGTGAGTGAGTTTAGCACCGCTTTTAACAGTATTCAAGTTATATCGCGGCGTGTCAGCTTCATGTGGGAGGAAAGCCAGAAGTGATGCAGGTCTCAGACGTTTACCACTTCGGTGAAACCCACGAGCACAAACCTAGAAACATAATCGGGGTGAACCGGGATTCGAACCCACAATCATAGGTTTTTGGCGTGCCTAAGGGACGCAACTCTGCACAGTGAATCACGGCGCCTTAGACGACTGGGCCACCCATGCCCCCCGTAAAGAACAGAGGATGGTATGGTACAGATGGTATGGAACAGTGAGTGAGTGAGTGAGTGAGTGAGTGAGTGAGTGAGTGAGTGAGTGAGTGAGTGAGTGAGTGAGTGAGTGAGTGAGTGAGTGAGTGAGTGAGTGAGTTTGGTTTTACGCCACTTTTAGCAATATTCCAGCAATATCACGGCGGGGGACACCAGAAATGGGCTTCACACATTGTACCCATGTTGGGATTCGAACCCGGGTCTTCGGCGTGACGAGCGAACGCTTTAACCACTAGGCTACCCGACCGCCCCTTTATGGAACAGAGGATGGTATGGTACATAGGATGGTATGGTACAGATGGTATGGTACGGAGGATGGTATGGTACATAGGATGGTACAGAGGATGGTACAGAGGATGGTATGGTTATTCCAGGCTTATCTGTATCATCTTGCTCCGAAACTCATTCCTGAGACTACCTATTGGCGATTCTGGGTTAGAATTGATCCCCAGTGACCTATACTGGTCTGTAGCTGATTTTCCTGTGTATCTGACCGTGCTATCCAGAGTTGGCTACAAGCCTTTTTGACACAGGAATACCACTTACGTTACTCTCGTGGAGCTGTGCCTCAAGGGTGGGGATGTCGCCACTGACTGGGTCCTCGGCATGGAGAAACACATCCATCTCATCCATCCATCGTGTCAGCCCAACCAGCTGATTCTGAAACATGAAGACACAGATGAAGATGTGGCTGTATAATGCATAACAGTAAACAAGCGAGTAATTGAGTTGGCTGTTATGCTGCTTTGAACATTTAGCCAAACGTGTCCAGGAAGTCAATGCAGGGTTAATACTACTTTTGTTAAGCTGAAAATCACTGTTGTGGTCCTGACAAACCAAGAATAAATTAAGGTTGAATCTGGAATCATAGGATCCTGGCATGCCAAAGGGATGCAACTCTGCACAATGACCCAATTAATAAGAACTAATTTGGACAAAACTAATACTTAATCATCTATTTGTCCTAACATATCTTGTTGTTATGATTTGAAGCTTGTCACAGCACAATGTTTTTGCAGGCAATGTAATTCACCACTTCCTCAACTGTCCTCAACATTCAACCCACATATTGATGAAGTGGGTGGGCCAATGGGGTGGGCCAGTGGGGTGGGCCAGTGGGGTGGGCTGACATTGGGAAGCCAGCTACCAGCTGTGCCTTGCCTGACTTCTTGTTTTAAGAATTGACTTCAATATTTTTCTCCTTTGTGGATCTGTAGGTGATTCATGCATAAAGTGCACACCGTTTTTCACACACGCCCGTGCACTATCATTAGCCAATAAGGAAACAGTAGTTTGACAGTAGGCGTGGCCTAAAAATTTTCAGTTTATGGACTTATGAACCAGTTTATGAACCAATTGCAATTTACTCATGTCATCATACACAAGTGGATTACACAGATATTCACACCAACTGCCATGGACATGCTGTCAGCAAGTTGGATCCCATTTCAAAGACTGAGTGAAATAAACAGCTGCAAGTTTACATATACCCAAAGACATCCATGTCTCTGAAGGGCACATTTTGTGTTAGCCAAGTGTGCCTGAGACCACATCTTAAAAAGTCTAGAATGAACAGGACTAGACTGAGGACAGCGTACCTGATACTGTTTCATCTGGCCAATAGTCCTGTCCAGTTTGGCCAGTCTGTCTGTAATGGCGGCTGACACGTCTGACCAGCGGCCATTCAGGTTCTTGAGGTCATTCTGGAGATCCCCAACATCCTCATCAGAGGACTTCTTGTCGATGAGCTCCTGCCCAGTCCTGTTGACATAGTCCAGGCTGGACTGGTGGTCTTGGAGGTCATCTTGCAGCTCCTAAACACATCAACACTAAATTCAGGACTTGACATTATCAAAATAAACTTTTATATAAATCATCACACACAAGAAATAACCATGTATAATCTTTCTACATTTACATATTCCACAAAACGATGTTTTCTATTGTGGGAGAAAATTTATCTCGTCAAAAACAACTTTTCAATATGAAGGGAGACAACTCCACCAAAACTCGATAAATTATCTCCCTTGATGTGCTAACATTCATTATGTTGTTTGAAAATAAGGAAAATGATCAGAAAATAATGACCAAAAATATTAAACAATAGTTTAAATTTATTCTTCCCAACAGATAAAAAACTACTGTACATCACAAAACAGGATCAACAGAGAAGCTTCAAGTCAAAACACACCCGGTACTGCAGCTGTTGTTCTTCCATAGTCTCCAGACTTGCCAGTGAGATCTTCTCCGTCTGCAGTATGGCCTCCATATCACTCACCCACTTGGAGAGGGCACCGATGGCTGCCATGTAGGACTTGGACGGAGCTCGCTCCATTGCCTCCGCTAACAACCTCTGCCGCTCCCCTAATAAGCAATGGTGTGTGTGGAGGGATTAGCTGCAGTAATGTCACCACCCAGCCCTGTATATCATTAACATACCAGGGCTTAAAGTCACTGTGTCATCACACAGAATGCACAAGTCATGGTTAGTGTAACACACGGCATACTTTCATGCAAGATTGTCCCCATTGACATCAGATTAAGAATAATTTCATGAAGACTGTAATCCTTTAAGAAGTGAAAATACCTGTCTTACATTATTCTGTATAAATATATAGACATCCTACCCTCCTAGAAACCAAGTCTGACTCCTCCAAACAAGTGGTTGAAAGCATGAGCAACGGTAAATGTCTTTGGGGTACTATGACATGCACTCAACTCGGCCACACTGAGACCTCATCTTCAGTGAGACCAAACACTCCTGACATGCACACAAGGGTCTAAGGACCCACTCTGTCCCAGAGTGAGTGAGTGAGTTGGGTTAAACGCCACTTTGAACAGTATTCAAGTCATATCATGGCGTGTCAGCTTAATGTGGGAGGAAAGCCCGAAGTGATGCAGGTCTCAGAAACTTACCACTTTTGAGAAACCTATGAGCACGGGTATGGTGCTGACAAACCTAGAAACATAATCGGGGCGAAATGAGGTTCGAACCCCCAACCATAGGTTTCTGGCGTGCCCACGGGACGCAACTGGACAATGTATTGTGGCACCTAAGACAAGTAGGGCACCCCATCTCCCCTAATATGCCCCAGAGTCCCATAGGGGTAATTGCCATTGCAACAACAAACTTGATAGTGGAACTCTACCAGTTCCTCTCCATCTGCTGATGGACCTCAAGCAAGGGGAAGAATGGTACACTGAGCACACACTGACACACAACATCGCCACGACACAGATGATGATGAAAGAAACACAGGATGACACATACATGCTAATGATCCTATCAGTCATAATTATCAATTATCAAATAATTATCATTATTTAGTACACAACCATGCAAGTATCATGCACAATCTACACAATTCATGAGGTCAAAGCCGTATCATGCTTGGGACATATGAAACAATGAACAAGTGTTTCGTAACTCAAAAACAGCTCCAACTGAGAAGCAATGGGTATCAAAATAATTTTCTAAATTTATTATTAAATTGTCCAAATAAATTTGACTGGGAAGTAACATAACTTAAATCAAAAGAGAGTTTACAACATTTTTATGTATTATTTATCATAGTACTCACACTCCTCAGGATCTGGAACATAGCACTCGATGCAGACAATTGTATCTTACTGCCCACTTGGTGGGGACACTCGCAGCAACGGCAATATTTTAGTTCACGACTTTAAAAAGGCATGCATTCATATCGATCGTTATGTGAGCTAATGATTTGGTGCTGAAAACTTGTGTATTAATGATGATTAAATATTAAATTACAACTATTATATCAAATACGAATATCATAAAATATTTTAGTCAGCAACTTGGAAAAAGCATTTATGTCCATCACTATGTGTAATTATGAGTCACGCCCTTTTGTCATATAATATTTCAGTCGACAACTCGGAGTAAATTTTTATTAAAAATCATGCATTTATGTCCGTTGATATGTGAGGTTATGATTTGGTGTTGAAAAGTCATGCCTTAATGACGGAACATTTAAGTGTTGAAAAGTCATTCATTTATGTCTGTTAATATATTAGCCAATAACTTGATGTTGAAACTCATGCAATAATTTTAATCACTATGTCAGACAAGGACCTGATGTCGAAACTCATGCTTACTGATGGTAATGATGATCGTCACTGAATTGATGCAGAAAACCATAGCAATAACATTCAGTGCGGCCCGCTCTTGTTATAGAAAACTCATGTCATACCTCAAGTTCATTGACATGTTTGCCTTTGATTGTCTCAGCAACACATCTTTATACATGTCAGTCAAACAAAACCAATCAAATGCCTCTAACATCTTTGAGCAATTAATATGCCCAAGTTGCATACAAGTTTACAGTTGTTTTACGAATTGTAATTCGTTTTGTGGTCTCTAGTTTATTTGGTTTCGTTTCAGTCGAGATTAGGAAACTAGGTGATGTGAAATATGAGATGTGTGTCCAGCAGTTGCATCAGCATCATTAGTGAAATACATGACAGTGGTGACGTGACGCACATTGCAAGATGGACACGGTGACCAGGAAGCCGCCACATATCACACATTGTCACACTTGCAGCGAAACTCACGAAAAAACACGCTTGTAACAATCGTAAATCTCACCGATTTTATCGAAAGTTGTCTGCCACTTTGAATTGAAGACATTGAGGTCTTCCTGTATCTGCTTGTTGGTCTTGAGTTGCATGAGACTCTCGCCATGTTTCCTCAGCCTGCCGACTCGATCCTCGTGGGATTTGATGGACTTGAGCTTCAGCTTGACACACACAAAGTTCAATAATTCAAAGTTCATTTGTTTTGTTTTTTAATGCCACACTCATCTATTTTCAAGCTATATGACAGCTGTATGTAAATAATAAAGTCTGGGCCAGACAATCCAGTGATTGAAACCATGAGCATCGATCCATGTAATATGATGACATACATCAACCAAGTCCTTGGGCCTGACCACCAGATCCTGTTAGTCGCCTCTTACGACAAGCATGGGTTGCTGAAGACCAATTCTAACCCGGGACCATCACAAGGATCAGCTTTGCTGTGGTAGTATAGTGATTAGTGTTGGCTTGTCATGCTTACGACCCGGGCTTGATTTCTCAACTGGGTACAAGCACGTGAGAATTGGTTTACAGTGCTTTGAGCGACATTCCAATCAGGGTTGGAACAACCAGAATGTTTTCTCTACAGCCACTACCAATCAACTTGACTTCCAAAGAAAATATATGACAGGTCTGCTTAAATGGGTCACATTTGTTATTAATATACAAAAAATTACTTTTGACATGGTCAGTATGCGACAACAAGGAACCACCGACCAAACCCTCGATATGGTCTGACCGGATCAAGACCTCAGGGCGAGGTCCAGTCAGGACTGCTGAAGACAGTCCCGGTCAGTGTGACAGTGTCGATGTGCCTGCTCAATGGGACAGTGTCGGTCAGTGTGACAGTGTCGGTCTGCCTGCTCACCTTGCACTGGTCCAACTGCTGACTGATGTCCATGGCCTCGTCAGCGATCCTCTCCGCGGTAGTCACCCACTTCTCGTAGCTGGCCATCAGGTCCTGTAGGGTGGCCAGCTCGCTGTAGAACTTCTTAGTCTCCATGTTGAGATCCACGCGGTTCTGGGTCTCCGACAACTTCCTGTTGATGTGGTCCCATCTCTCCTCCACTTGCTGTGTGGCCTTCACGATATGCTCGTTGGGCTCGTCAGCTGAAACACAAGAGAGTCATGTGATATTCAGTGTCCTGTTCCGCAAAGCCGTCGCTACACTGACCTATCTCTCATTCTTTATAACAAAGACTTACAATCGTCATGGCAGGAAGATCATTGTTAGGAACAGGATAGCTTAGTGAGTAAGAGTCAGGTCCATGTCTGAACCCTGCAATGACTGGGTACTAACATTGTTAATGTCACTGGCTAAAGGGAGACAACTCAAGGGGGAAAACATTTCTGTCTCTTTCTACAAATTACAAACGGCTGTCAACTATTTCTCCTACAGTCAATAGATGCTGCCATTTAGTCCTCCAACAAATGCTATTATTTCTATTTTGTACTTAAGGCATTGCCTCGGGCCACTATGACTGACCTTGGACCTACAACAAGGCCAATAGAAAAACACCTATATAATAACATAACACGGTTTAGTCCACCAACAGGCAACAAGTGCTGTCATTTCTATACTGTTTTCCTTAACTCACCAATTTTAAGTTCGGTCGTGACTGTTTTTCCCAACCTCAGCAGGTTGAACACGTCATCCGTGTGAGCTTTCACTTCACTCTCCATGTCCTGCAACAAATGCCACCACAGAATCATACCTGCAAAAACTAAGTCTGACTGCTCACCCAAATATTAATACATGTGTAATACAGAAGAGATCAATCTCTCATATCCAGATGTAAACGACGTAAACCTCCAGCTAGGGCTTGGACGGGTAACTCGGGTACTCAGGTCGAGTGGGTCCTGAGTAGGACCCGGGTCCTCGCAGGACTACCCGGACCCGTGGTTAGTCACATAATATATTGTTTAACAACACATCTTAACTCTGTGGTTACACTATAAGTCACTAGTGTTCCCATTTCTTTCTGACAATGCACCCATTCCTTCTGACTTTTATATGTCTGAATAAAGATAAATAAACTTCATCAATAAACTTCAGTGTATGCATGACCAGATTGTTTTACACGTGTATCTAAATACATTTTGCCACGGCTACGGTCAAACTGTTCCAAATCGGACAGTTTGTACCTATCTCTAGATATCTACAGCAGGTACCCGGGTAGGGTCGGGAATAGGGAGGTGGGTACCCGGGTAGTAAATTTGGACTCATCCCAGCCCTACCTCCAGCGCCCAAATTTGTATCAAACCAGGGTTGGGGGTGGTACTATCTACTGAGCCATTCAAACAAACCTGTGTGAGCACCAACTGTTCCTCTTCTGTGAACTGTTCTTGCGGACTGTTGGATTCTGACACGAGAAGCTCAAGCGTTGTTTCTGTCTTGTCAAACCAATCATATAGTGTGATTAGATCCTGGTCAAATTGCACCTGATTGGCTGACTCAACTCGACGCTTCTTAGCTGACGAGGCTGAAGGGGATCGAAGTCTTGCTTCTTCCGAAACTTCCGAAATCATCTCCTCCGATATCTTTCCCAGTTCTATCCCTGAGTTTGCAATCTGGGCAAGAAATAAACAAACTCAGCACACAATGTCACTAGCCTGTTTCCTAACCGATCTTTTACAACTTCTCGGAATACAAAGATTAGGCCAAATTGATTTCTTGATTAACATTTGTTTGTTTGTTGTAAAACACCCCATACAGCACAATTCCAGCAATATGATGTCAGTCTGTAAGTAATGAAATCTGGCCCAGACAATCTAGTGATTGACATCATGAGCATGAGTCTGTGCAATTGGGACACGATGACATGCATCAACTAAACCACCCTGCCTTAGCAACTGATCCATTCAGTTGCCTCTAACAACCACTGTAGGTTGCTGGGTGCTTATTTTACCCTGTATCCCAAAGGGTTTCTTGTCTAATAGATTCTCTTGGTCAATATTCCAGGATGCAGGTAAATTAATTAATAAATGACAATTGTATTTTAGAAATAATTGAAAATAATTTGAGAGTTAAAAACACACTGTGGAAATTTGCAAATAAACAACAATACAAACATAAAAATGTGAGCAAAAAAAAAGCATTTTCAAACAAAACTGCTACAATTATTTCTTTTATCCTTTACTGTGTGTACGATTTAGAGTTTGCTTGTCTCGTTTCATCCATTCAGACCTATATAGATCTAATATGGTACAGTTTTCCTCATACAGAAAGGCCTTCATTGGAAAACTCCAAACATAATGCACAAACTTTCCGAAGATTACATAGCATCATACCAATGAATACATGTGAATAGCAGTCTTCACTTATCACCATAGAACTGACAATGATGATTCTAATTCATTTCAGCGTTAATTCAAAATGGCTGCCATGTGCGTCTGCTCTCTTCCTCACCTCTTTACTCTGGTACTCCATCTGCTGGACAAGTCGCTCCCACCGTTCCTGGAACTGCTCCAGCTGGGAGCTGATGCGATCCACAGCCACCTGATTGTCTACATGCTGGACGATCTGCTGACCACAGTCGTTCAGCTCGTCAAACCTCTGGACTTGTTCCACCATGTCTTTCTCAATTGCCTGGAAAATACAGAGTCAGGTGTTTACAAAACAAAATCTCCCATGTCGGCAATTTGCAGCCGCAGAACTGTCGGGAATATGAAGAGTGATTGAGTGAGTGAGTGAGCTTGGTTTAAAGCTGCTTTGAATGGTACTTCAGTTATATCACAGTGTGTCAGCTTAACGTGGTGATGCAGGCAGGCAGTCTCCCTGTACTCTGGTGAACCCATGGTGCTGAGAAACCAGAAAACATAATCAGGACGAATCTTGGATTCATCATAGGTTACTGGCATGCCTAAGGGAGGTAATTCTGCACATGAATTGCACCTTAGACGAGGGTGTCACCAGTGCATGCAATAAAGCTCAGGCAAATTGGCAGTAAATTAGAGTCGTTCAGATATCAGACACCACCATTTTATGTCTGCTGACTGAAAGTTTCTGATGTATATCATTAATGTTAATGATTGTACAGTAATAACACAGTGACATTTTTTTCCAAATGTTTCCTTGAATACCAATACTATAAGTACAAACATACGATAGCTATGCTATAAATCGCAAAGAACAATGAAGAACGAGGTGTGATTGCACCCCTCATGGTTCATTCTCCCTGCAGTGTTTTATTGTACGATAAACAACTCCCACTCATCATTTATTTCTTTATTATATACCACTCAAAATGCCATGACAGATTTACTAAAGTAATATTAAATAATTGCATGTTCTTTAACTTCTCTTGAGTAGTATATATAGTGAATGAGCGAATATTGTATTACATCCCAACAACACTGAGGTGCAGGGGCCCGTTCCACAAAGCGATCGTAGCGCTAAGATGATCGTAACTCCCATACTTTAACATAGATCTACGTCATTCGTAGCGCTAAGATGGCTTTGTGGAACGGGCCCCTGGTAATTTTGCAACTATCCATACACTACATAACATAAACCACTTCACATATTTAAGAGAACTACCTTCAACTGTCTGACTTGAGCTATCACTTCTTCTGCAACATTCAGATCAGCCAATCGCATCCTCCCTAACACTTGTTCCTTGTCTGCCAGCCAATCAGCAAATTGGTTTTGTTCCTCATTGAAGTGCTGCCACTTGAGGAGCAGCTCCTGCAATATCATCCACTTCTTTTCTGTCCATCGTCCGATCGTCGCCCACCTCTTCCCCAGCGACTCCAGCTGCTTCTCCATGGCTTCACACACTGAAATATTCAACAGAAACAATATGATGCTGCTTGTTATGTCAATAAACCTTGTTGCAGCAGATGGAAATATTTGCAAAAATTGAATGAAGATAGATCTGACCCAGATCTCTTCAAGAAGATGTATAAATTCAATGAAATTATAAGGAGGCATTGGAGGCCCAGTTGTCTATGGCAGGGGTAGAAACTAACATATTTAGTCCACTGGTCCTTATAATGATAACAAGTAGCAAAACCCTTAACAATGGCAAATTTCTAATAGTCCTTATGATGCCTTAACTATTGGGCAGTTTGGCAAGGCTTTCAGGACTAGTGCCAGTTTCTAACGCTGTATGGCACCTCCATTGGTTGTGCAGAGTTAAGCCCCTTGGGCATGCCAGAAACCTTTGGTCATGGCCTTGAATCCAGGTTCACCCGGATTGTTTCTTGTGCATTTATCAGCCCCATACCCATGCTTGTGAGTTTCACCAACATGGTAAACGTCTAAACCCTGCATCACTTCGGGCTTTCATCCAACACAAAACTGTCATGCTGTGATACAGTTCAACTCACTCAAAGCACATTTAAAGAAGAACCAGGGCGAGCACTGATAGCAAGACTGAACTTGACAAAAATACATATAAACATGGAATAAACAGTTGAACTATTCAGTGGCTGATTTCTACACGTAGCAAAGTGACCAAAATACTTTCAAAGAATGCTGGTTTAGGTGATTGGCTGACGTCTTCCATCACTTAAAATTTTGATCTTATATCTCAGCATACAACCCTAAATATACGGTACTTTGTCTGCAAACTCAAAGTTATTTATGATGTACATATTTCAATCTAGAAGGCTATGGTCAGCCTTCACAATTACCAAGAGGAATAGTCCCCCTACAAGTGCCAGGCAGACTGTGTGTTTAGTACCTTGAGTGAGACAGTCTTCACTGTACTGACAGAGCAAGGCAGGCCCAGAGTAATGGCAGGGAGTCTGCCAGTAGGAATTACTCACCACTCTCAGTGTTTGTGTCATCCACTACCACCACCATGTTCTGCAGACTGTCCACCCTCTTCTGCTGCTTCTCCAGGGATTCCTGGATCCGCTACAACATACAGGGACCACATGCACAAAGTGATCTTAATGCTGAGTCTAGCATAGCTTTCATAGTTCTACAGAGATTCCTGAATCTGCTACAACAGGACAACCACATCATACAGGGACCATGTGCACAAAGTGATCTCAATGCCTAGACTATCATAGCTTTCACACTTCTTCAGAGATTCCTGAATCCTCTGCCACAGGACATCCACATCATACAAGGGGCCACGTTCACAAAATGATCTTAATACTAAGGCTCTCATAGCTCTCAAACTTTGACAGAGATACCTGAATCCTCTACAACAGGACAACCACATCATACAGGGACCACATGCACAAAGTGATCTCAATGCTGACTATCATATCTCTCAAACTCCTACAGAAATTCCTGGATCTGCTACAACAAACATGGACATCCACATATATGAACCATGTGCACAAAGTGATCTCAATGCCAAGACTATCATAGCTTTCACACTTCTCCAGAGATTCCTGGATCCCCTACAACAGGATATCCACATCATACAGGGACCATGTGCACAAAGTGATCTCCATGCCAAGACTATCATAGCTCTCATACTTCTCCAGGGATTCCTGAATCCTCTACAACAGGACAACCACATCATACAGGGACCACATGCACAAAGTGATCTCAATGCTGAGACTATCATATCTCTCAAACTCCTACAGAAATTCCTGGATCTGCTACAACAAACATGGACATCCACATATATGAACCATGTGCACAAAGTGATCTCAATGCCTAGACTATCATAGCTTTCACACTTCTCCAGAGATTCCTGGATCCCCTACAACAGGATATCCACATCATACAAGGGGCCACGTTCACAAAATGATCTTAATACTAAGGCTCTCATAGCTCTCAAACTTTGACAGAGATACCTGAATCCTCTACAACAGGACAACCACATCATACAGGGACCACATGCACAAAGTGATCTCAATGCTGAGACTATCATATCTCTCAAACTCCTACAGAAATTCCTGGATCTGCTACAACAAACATGGACATCCACATATATGAACCATGTGCACAAAGTGATCTCAATGCCAAGACTATCATAGCTTTCACACTTCTCCAGAGATTCCTGGATCCCCTACAACAGGATATCCACATCATACAGGGACCATGTGCACAAAGTGATCTCCATGCCAAGACTATCATAGCTCTCACACTTCTCCAGGGATTCCTGAATCCTCTACCACAGGATATCCACATCATACAGGGGCCACGTTCACAAAATGATCTTAATATTAAGGCTACCATAGCCCTCAAACTTCGACAGAGATACCTGGATTATCTTTAAAAATTGATATAGCTTTATTGCTGGAATAAACAATCATGGATGTCTTACTTTGTGTTCACTGACTTGTCGCTTTATGGAGTCGAGATCGGAGCCGAGCGGCTCCTGCTGGTTGATGCGCTCCTCCATCTGGGCCAGCCAACTGGCCAGCTCATCCAGCTGCTGCTGCTGCAGGTCCATCAGCACCTGCTGCAATCTGCAACACAGAGGGCAGTACTAGTACTGGGAGCACACACAGCATCTGGAGTCTTACAGAGGGCAGTACTAGTACTGGGAGCACACACAGCATCTGGAGTCTTACAGAGGGCAGTACTAGTACTGGGAGCATACAGCATCTGGAGTCTTACAGAGGACAGTACCAGTACTGGGAGCACACACAGCATCTGGTGTCTTACAGAGGGCAGTACTAGTACTGGGAGCACACAGCATCTGGAGTCTTACAGAGGGCAGTACTAGTACTGGGAGCCCACACAGCATCTGGAGTCTTACAGAGGGCAGTACTAGTACTGGGAGCATACAGCATCTGGAGTCTTACAGAGGGCAGTACTAGTACTGGGAGCACACACAGCATCTGGAGTCTTACAGAGGGCAGTACTAGTACTGGGAGCACACAGCATCTGGAGTCTTACAGAGGGCAGTACTAGTACTGGGAGCACACACAGCATCTGGAGTCTTACAGAGGGCAGTACTAGTACTGGGAGCATACAGCATCTGGAGTCTTACAGAGGGCAGTACTAGTACTGGGAGCACACACAGCATCTGGAGTCTTACAGAGGGCAGTACTAGTACTGGGAGCACACACAGCATCGAGAGTCTTACAGAGGGCAGTACTAGTACTGGGAGCACACACAGCATCTGGAGTCTTACAGAGGGCAGTACTAGTACTGGGAGCATACAGCATCTGGAGTCTTACAGAGGGCAGTACTAGTACTGGGAGCACACACAGCATCTGGAGTCTTACAGAGGGCAGTACTAGTACTGGGAGCACACACAGCATCTGGAGTCTTACAGAGGGCAGTACTAGTACTGGGAGCACACACAGCATCTGGAGTCTTACAGAGAGCAGTACCAGTACTGGGAGCACACACAGCATCTGGAGTCTTACAGAGGGCAGTACTAGTACTGGGAGCACACACAGCATCTGGAGTCTTACAGAGGGCAGTACCAGTACTGGGAGCACACACAGCATCGAGAGTCTTACAGAGGGCAGTACTAGTACTGGGAGCACACAGCATCTGGAGTCTTACAGAGGGCAGTACTAGTACTGGGAGCACACACAGCATCTGGAGTCTTACAGAGGGCAGTACTAGTACTGGGAGCACACACAGCATCTGGAGTCTTACAGAGGGCAGTACTAGTACTGGGAGCACACACAGCATCTGGAGTCTTACAGAGGGCAGTACCAGTACTGGGAGCACACACAGCATCGAGAGTCTTACAGAGGGCAGTACTAGTACTGGGAGCACACACAGCATCTGGAGTCTTACAGAGGGCAGTACTAGTACTGGGAGCACACACAGCATCTGGGCCCACTTGCACAGAACAATCTTAGTTACAATCGATCTTAGGCGGCTACAATCAACTTTACAATCACCCTACAATTGTCCCATTCCACTTGCACAAACCGATCTTAGCGCGATTGTAAGACGGCTTGGAGTTAAGATCGCGATCTTAACTAAGATTGAAATCTTCAATGGTGGAGGTACAAATATCTTAAACTAGACTCCTGTCTATGGTTGTCTGCAAACGCGCAAATCTTGCTGCGCATACAACGTGTGGAACCGGTTACGACATACAACACGTACCTCCCTCCACGCACCTTGCACAGTTGAAAGGTCTCAACTATTTGAAGGAAACTATAATTAGAATGTTGGTCTATAGATTTAGTGACATTCTTATTATGAAAGTAAAAATAGAAAATAATAATAGATCTCTATGTCCAAATAACATAACAGGTAAATGTATGATCGTCATCTATTTGGGGGAGCTTTCCGTAAAATCCTAAATACATGTATATCCTTCATGTTTTAGTTTTGTGGCTATTACAAAGGATGTTATGACACCCTTTTCAAAAAAACAGTAAGACGGGAGATTTCAAGAATGCATGTACGGGAAATAAGAATAATGTTTCAAGAAAGAAGTTGTTTAATATATATTCATTTGGTATTAATTATATTTTTTAAAAAGTGTGAATTTTACTTTTGCTATTTATGGGATATTTTACACAAATTTCAAATGTCTCATCATGTGTATTTGCTTGTTTGATGAATATTTGTATTAGTTTCTTATAAATTCAGATATTACAACCGCTCGTGACTGCCCCACTCGATTTTAGATATAAACGTATGATTTTGCACTTCAACTTGTGTTTCCTTGTAGATTAATTTAATGATAAACTAAAGACAAAATAACTGACACGAATGTGACCCAAAAGATATACAAGGGGAGCTCGGCGGTTCTACAACATTAATACACTGGGCAAGGTAGATTCTACGATACTTATACAAAGGGAAACCACTCCCATCTAGAATATAAACTATGATTAGCTGCCCTTGATTTATCTTAAAGGTCACGGACGTTACAAATCGCTTGCAGACGACTTAGGTTTTATCCTTCCCTTGATAAGGTATGTTGTTTTAGACTTCTTTCAGCATTGACACGGGTGGGAATAGTACTTTTAACTATCGACTCGATAGTTATGTGGTTCACTATCTCAATTAACGATATTTTTTACGTTAAATCTGTGGTGCGGTCTTCGTGTTGTTGAAGTGTCGATTCGAATCATAAAATCTAACAAAATAAAGAGGCAGTGTTTGATCATAAAGCAGATTATTAATGTGGAACTGGCCCTGTCTTGCACGCCATTTTGTCAGGGACTACAACGATCTTAGCTACTTAAGATTGGTCTGGACCAATTGTAAGTTTCGATTGTAGCTTACAATGATCTTAACCTACAATCGCTTTGTGCAAGTGGATGGCGATTGTAGCGGAAGCCTAAGATCGCGATCTTAAGGATTTACAATAATTGTAGCGCTAAGATCGCTTTGTGCAAGTGGACCCTGGAGTCTTACAGAGGACAGTACTAGTACTGGGAGCACACACAGCATCTGGAGTCTTACAGAGGGCAGTACTAGTACTGGGAGCACACACAGCATCTGGAGTTTTACAGAGGGCAGTACTAGTACTGGGAGAATAAACAACATCAACAGTACTAGTACTGACAGCAAATGTAACATCTGGAGTCTGTAACATGGAGTACAGTATTGATACTTGGAGCCTAAATAAACAGAGACAACACAATTTCATTGGGTTTTGATATTTGTTGAAAGGGGAACACTGATGGGTATATTACAGTTTCATGAAATTATACTGTCCACTCATCCAAAAGTCAGCTAGGAAACAATGATGTTGCTTGTTCTACACAATCTGATCAGAAACATGTTGCTGTTTCATATTACCCAAGGCAAATAACCAGGTTTCTGTTCAACGCAGAAACAAATACCCGGCATCTCCGCAAAATGGAATGTCAATGTTATAGATACATTAAACAAAATATATTTTCTTCCAACAAGAAAAATCATCCATAAAATATATCATTTAGTATCCACCCACATGTGAAACAGACAGTTTATTCTTCAATCATTTTCAATCATTCCGAGAAGGAACTCAAGGATGTAATTACAGACATTGTAACTTCAAAGATGAATGTTTACCTACATCCAAAACACATCTGAACCCCCTATCTCATTGACGTCTGCCACCGAGATCTCTCCATGTTTCACATACACCACACAGGCATAGTCAGACAAGATGCTTCAGCGAATGGATTCTGTCTGAGTACACCCCATCTGGTGCTGAAGTGTTTCCATGCCACACTCCAGCGCTGTGAAAACTTAGCATTACATCACTGCCACAAGCTAATTTGCTTGACTAGATTTTTCTCTTGATTGTAAACAAATACACTTAATCGGAGATCAGAGCCAATAAAAAGAAATTGCCTTCGACAAAAATTACATTGTTGCAAGGCGTTTTCTAAAAATATATTCAGGGTCATAGTTTTAATTAGTTAAATATCCAGTTTAGCTGTTGAAACTGAAAAAATATCTAATCTCCATACAAAATCGCACCAACAGGCTTGCTGACTTGGTTGATGCATGTCATCGAACCCAAATGAGTGGATTGATGCTCATGATATCAATCACTGGACTGTCTGGTCCAGACTCGATTATTTACAGCCCGCACTCATATAGCTGGAATATTGCTGAGTGTGGCGTTAAACAACAAACCAACAAAATCCCAGGCCTCCCAAGAATATCAAATGTTTGTTACCTTACATAGCCAAAATGTCTTAAATGATGTTATATACTGTATGCCATGATCCGAAATTCAAAAACTCTCCAAACAATGGAAACTAAGAATTCCATAATTCAACATATATTTCACACAAGTCTTTTGCACACAATAATGTAATATTTCAATTCAAAGCATAAACCAAATTCATCAAATATAAAAAAATATAATCCCTTTTTCATTCTAAAGAACACTAATCACACTTACAACAACCATGAAGTTCATCATCATTCAAAAAATAAACTTCTGTCTTGTTCAAAGGAGTGCAAGACCATCAACGCCTTGATAAGATTTTATGCACTAAATATCAAACATTAGCAGCACTTATAAATACTGGCAGCAAGGTGTTGGCGCCATGCCGCCACGCCAGCAGGTGAGGGTCCCACAACACAGTATAGGGTAGGATGCCTGTTGGTTCACTCAGATCTCTGACAAGAACCACTTCTACTGCTGCTCTGTCAGCAGGGTATAAATGTTGCATTGCCAACCCAGCAGCTGCCAGTTCAATGTCCCCATTAATACTTGGGAGAAGTTATTTTTTTGGCAGCATTTACCGAAAGACCTAATTTTCCCTTGAGCTGTAGGAATAAAAGCGTTTGGATCGAAGATGTTAGAGAAGAATACATCTAATGCTTTTCTCAACTCCTGTCCCGACAGACGAGTGCATTAAGTTTCTGACACTGACAGGTAGCAGTTTTCAAACGAATTGTAAGGGACACTTTGTTCTTATCATCAGACCATAGTGAAGTAACTATGGAAGTGTGAATGGTGTTTAATGCTGCGGTCAGCAATAGTCCATCTATATCACATTGGACTGTAAATAATCAAGACTGGACAAGGCAAACC